AGAATTTGAAAAACATGCTTTCATTCGTCAAGATGCCATAGATTTTCATTTACCTTTGTCTGATAGGTCTAGAACATGGGTTAAAGGCCTTCGTATTAATGATGACATTTATAATGATACTCCCACTCGATTAATTCATATGTCACCTAATGAAGCTGTAAAGAGGGCATTAAAAGGTGAAAAAATAATTGCTGATCCATCTGTAAAACATCGAAGACCTATTGGGTTTAATGAACCTCGATTAAGCTATAAAGATTCTGTTTTATATTTACTCGAACCTGGAGAATTAGAATTTGGCAAAAGACGCATAACTGATATGAATTGGTCTACTAAAGTTTATCGTATTAAGGAATCACTAATACAAAAAAATCAACCAGTATTATACTGGCTTATGGATGAAAATGGGGATGGTCCCGAGAGATCATTTGTTAGAGAACAATTATTATTAGTAAATAATAATATAGAATATCCTCCGAAATGGATTCTTAAACAATGAGCTCCACTCTACTCGTCTATAAGTATGTCTTCAACAGCTCATCAATTTCTGTTTCAGTCATAGGCCTATCTTTTTTGGATAGCTTATAATAAAGATTATTTAATTCTTCTACACTGGTAAGTAGCTCCTTTTTACCTTGATACCATTTTCTATATCTCGACATTCTTTTATTATATGCTTCTTCATTTGGAAATAGTGTTATAGCTGTATATTTTATATACTCATCTTGGTTTTCAGCATTACGCAAATTTTTTACATATCCAGCATATTCACTAATAAGCTTACTATCTTTTCTATATCGAAGACGAAAGGCTTCTTTTATTATTTTAATTTGTGCTGATTCAATCATTTTCCATGTAATAGTGTCCTGCATCGTTAACTCTGAGCCCTGCTCATTTATTAAACTTGAACTATTGTCTGTCATACTTGGTTTATACTTACTCTATATTTTGTTTTATATAATATAAATTTATTCAATACGAGTTTTATTATCCCACCTTCTCATAATTTCATTACTCAAAGCTAGATTATTTTCGAACATGTGTGAAAAAAAAAAGCAGTTATCTTCTAATGAGTTTTTTAACTTACTCATCTATTACCATAAACTAGTCTTCGTCAAATATATCTTCTATAATTTGAGATGCAATATCATCCTCATTTCGTGAGTCAACTTCTATTTTATTAATTTCAATTTTCGGATATTTGCTCAATAATTGATTTACTATTTTATCTGTTATTCGTTCACAATTTTGTATTTTTATAGTTTTTATACTTGTACATTTTTCTGGTATACTTAAGACAGTTTTTGGCGCTATTCGATTACTTCCATAGATAAACATATGGTTTAGATTCTTGCACGTATCCAATGTTATCTTTAGTGAACTATTGTTAAGAAATCCCCCACCACAATCCTTAAATGATATAGTTATTATATATTGGCATATACTTGCAATGTCTTCTAATAGAAATTCATTCATATTAAAATAATTATCTATTCTTTCGAATTCTATCTGTTTTATATATTTTATTGCATTCGGTAATGGTTTCTTTTTTATTATTTCGACAAAATTTCTAATATTATATCTATATAATTTAATCCTTCTCCATATTAAATATGTTGCGCATTCATTCCATCGTTTGTTAACATATAAAACCGAAAACAATAATTCATTATTACCACATAACATATCATTTTGTGTTCGTAAATGTTGAAATATTTCTATTATAATTTCATTTGGAAGATTTATATCAGACCTTTTTAGTGGTTTCCTTTTTACTGTCTGTGAAACAGGATACTCTCTATCTAACTTTGTATTCTGCTCTTTATCTTGTATTTTTCCAAAATCTAATAAACTATTTGTAGTGCAAAGCTCTTTTTCTTCAAAAAAACTCAAATTTGGAATTTCTGGATATGACGGTTTCCATGTAACTGATATACAATTTTTTACTTCACAAACTCCTCTTTTCTCGAATTTTAGCTCACCCATTTCTATTCCCGTTTTAAGTTCTACTTTTCCAGCTACAATAAAACCATCTGTATGTATACGTTTTACTTGATCTCCTAGTGGTTTTACAATTTCTGATATTCTTTTTCGTGCTGATGCTAATAAGAATGGTTTTATTCGTGGGTGTGTGCCATAATTTTGCCCATTTCTTTGCTCACATAAGACACCCCATAATGAAACTAATAATGCTTTACTTACTTTTCCAGCTATTCCACCTTCTTTCTTAATATTATATAATATATTTCCCCATTTACCAAACATGTCTCTTCCACTAATACGAGTATTTTTTTCATATATAAGTGCATTTGGTGATTCATTCATTAAATATACTTTCAATCCATTTTTCTTAGCACATTCTAAATCATAATGTGTATAAATTCCATATGGATTATATCGCAAATATCTTGTACATTGAAGGCTTTTCTTTGGAGGATTTCCTTCTATTGTTGCTTTATAAATTCCATACGGAAATTTACCCCATTTTTCAGCAAAAGTTGAATTTATTGTATGAAATTTACCTTGTGCAAAAGGCCATGATGCCTCTTTCTTTAACATTTCATATACATACATTGAGTTTACGTCATATTGAATAGCTTCTCCTTCATATCTTTCAGCAAATACTAAAGCACCTGTTGATGCTAAATTTAACCAAGCATTTTCTTTTTCATTTACTTTTTCGCTTCTTTTTGATACTAAAGTAGTTTCTTTAAAAAGTTTTAAACTTGTTAATGTATAACTTCCAGATTTTCGCATATCAACTTGTCCATTTGTTTTTTCTGCTATAGTTTCTGATTCTTTGATAATTCTTTTATAGGCTTCTATTGTTGTTTCTTTTAAATCCGATTTAATAAAATAGTACTTGTTAGATAAAGCACAGAAATCTTCTTTAACACCATACCATTTTCTTTTTCCATCATAAAACTCAAACCCATTTGCTATATTTTTATGAATTAAGATAGTTTTATCTTGGTAGTTTACGATATTTTGCTTTGAACTAGATCCTATCCCGGGGTCGACTGCCGGCGCACTTGCCTCTCTCGGCTGAAGTGTTGGTGGGTTTTCATCGAATGATATGAGATCACCTTCAGGAGTTGATGGCGGATTTTGCTCTGGAGTAACGTTTTCAGTTTGAGGTGTATTTTGCTC